AGATAGAGCCCCAGGCCAGGCCTTAGGTGGGCCTGGCCCTAGCCTGGCCTCAACCAGCTGGGTGTCCCCCATGCACCCACAGTGAGGCTACTGAAGCCAGGAGCCCCTCATGGCTCTCACACAGGTACAGAGATGTCCCATCTCCAAGGCCCCATCTGCCTATGGCAGATACCAGGCAACCTTCCACTTGTGCCAGCCTCAGGGCCAGTGGGAGCCTCAGCAAAGAGGTCTGCACTGGGCAGAGCTCTCATCCTGGGTCAAGCACTTATCCCAACACTCCACCCAGACTCCAGAACATCTTCCTAGAATGGGAATCTGATCATACCCCTCTCCTGCTTATAACCCTCTCCACTGACAGGCAGCTAGCATCCAGACTCCTAGGCCTGCCCTCCCTGGCCCTAGGCCCCAGGCCAGCTGGCCCTTTGCTCCCTGTGCCTTGGACAGTTGTCCCCCGGCCTAAGCCTCCTGCCTCCGTCCTGCTCCACACCTTGCTCCTCTGGGATCCCACAGCACTGGGCCTGGGAGCAGAGCCTTGCCTCCCATGGTTATTATCTCCTTGTTAGCTGGCCCCCAAAACTGGGAGCTCCTTGAGGGCAGGGAATATATAGGATTTATCTGAGTGTCCCCAGCACCTAGCCCCGAGCCTGGCACATAGACGGTGTTTGGCAAATGTCGGGGTAAGAGGGAAATGGGGCGCCTGGGTGGCTCAGTGGGTTAAGCCTCTGCCTTCGGCTCAGGTCATTGTCCCAGAGTCCTGGGATCGAGCCCCACATCGGGCTCTCTGCTCCGAGGGCAGCCTGCTTCCTCCTCTCTCTCTGCCTGCCTCTCTGCCTACTTGTGATCTCTGTCAAATAAATAAATTATATATATATATATATATATAGAGAGAGAGAGAGAGAGAGAGAGAGGGAATTGCAGGGAGGGAGGAGGGAAGAAGTGGGATTGGAGGAGAAGAGGAAGGAAGGGGAGGAGAGTCAGTTTGTCTCCTTCCTTTCTTCCGTTTGACATTCTCAACTCAGTCCAAGGCCTCACTCAGCCATGGTGATGCAGCCAGGTGGGGCTAAGCCAGGGAGCAGAGATGGGGAGGAGGAGTGGGGGAGGATGGGGGGTGAGGAGGAAGCTGCTGAAGCAGCAGCACCTCTATGCGGAGGCTTAAGAGCTATTTGTGTGCTACCTGCTAAGCCCCTAATCCTCCATGGCCAAGTCAGAGCCCTGCACCTGGGCTCCAAGGGGGCCGGGCTCAAGAAACCTAGAGATAGGTGCCACCATCTTCAGAGAGAGCCACCCCCAGCTGCCCACTTCCACAGATCATCCCCAAGCCTGACTGAGGGGCCAATGGCTCAGAAAGTCACCCACTTGGGGACTTGTCCCTTGGTGTGCTCCTGGGCCCTCTCTGGAGCACCTGGCATGGGAGAAGAAAGCTCGGACTGGGGAGTCAGACAGCCGGTTCACTTCTGGCTCTGCTGAGGAACATTAACCCTCCGACCCCATTTCCTCAGTGGTCAGAGGGTATGGAGTGAGACCTCCTAACGAGGGGCCAGGAGTCATCCATTCATTTGACAACTATTTATTGAGCCGCTACCCCAAGCTGCCTGCTCAGATGCAGCAAAGTACAGGCGAGGCCAGCCCTGGACTCTGGAGAGGTGGGCAGTGAGTCGTAAGGGGACAAATAAGACCATCGCTGATAGTGATCACTTCTGAGTAGAAAACCAGTGGGATGGAGTGGGGGCCCTCGTCTGTAGACTTGGGGTCCTCACCAAGGAGTGCATTGCAAACTGAGACCGACCTTTGTAAACTGACTTAGACTCTAAGAGGCTAACACTGTCGGTCACTGATCACTTATAGGCAACAGAGTAGGAAACTGAGGCATAGGGAAGGGAGGGGGCTGGGTTGCACCCAGGCTATGTGCCTACAGAGTCTTGGTCCAGATGTAAGGGTAAGTGTAAAGGGACCATGCCCAACTGAGGGGGACCATGACACCTAAATTGTAAAGTCAGGAGGTCTGTGACTGGGCCTTGGTGGGAAAGCAGGTCATGTCTACCCAGCAGGTGGGCATGGATCTCCCAAGGTTTCCTAGTTCAAACAAACTGAGGCCAGAAAGGCCAGAAGCCTCCCCAGGCTAGAATCCAGTGCCACCCTCTGCCCTCTGGGCCACCACTGCTGCCCTAGGCCCATGTGAGTCAGGCTAGTGGCTTTCCCATCAGCCCGGCACAACCCTTTTTTGGTCATTTATACCATGGTATGAATGGCAGCAGATCTTTCCTGAGAGCTGTCTTTGGTGTGGGGAGGGAGGCAAGGCCAGGCAGGTGACAGCCCAGATTTGTCACATGACCTGGGCCACGGACCCACTGCCTCAGTCTCTCCACCTGTGCAATGTAGTAGGGAGGATCAGAGGAGGTGACTTCTAATGACTAACTGCTCACTGTGAGCCAGTTGCTCTGAACAAGGAGTATTTTTAGTTTAAAAAAAGGTTCTTTGTCGTCCCTCACAGAATACAGTGCAATGTCACCCTGTGAGGCCTTTAATTCCCCATGGCCATGGTCCTGTGAGGGAGGGTCATTAAACTCTGAGACTTAGAGAGGGAAGCACTGACTGAGATAACCTAGATCTACTCACTTGATCCACAAATACTAAGCACCTACTATGTGCCAGCCTCTGAGGATGATACTCCAGTGAACAGAACAGACAGAAATCCCAGCTCTCTCCAGTGCATGGGGAAATGATTTACAGCGACCACGCTCGGCTCCAGGAACCCTGTTGAGAGCTGGGCAGACCCCCTCCACCCCTGCCTACTCAGATGACAGCCTGCGAGATGGACAAAAAAACATGTGAACAGAACATAGAAGTTTCCAGGGTGTTCTAAGCATTAGGAGGAGGTGAAGGCAAGGCATTAAGGTCTAGGGTTGGGGGCTCACAGGGCTGTGTGTGGGCTGGTCTTTGGGCTGGTCTTGGCCCAGGGAATCAGGGCTCCTCCCTCCATGTGGCTACTGGGGCCCACGTCAGAATCAAACCCTCCACCTTGACCTCATTAGCATTGGGCCTAATCCCTGAGCCAGCACCTTAAACTTCGAGAGGTCACACCGCACCCCCATGCCTTCCCTGCACTCATTCATTCCACCGGCACACATTTCATCAGCACCCCCCATATGCAAGCCTTGACACCACCTGGGACAGGCAGGATCTGGAGCCCCAGGCGGGCTGGAGGGAAGGGGGTACTCTCCTGAGTGAATAGGTCTGGTGGGAAGGGACTACTCAAAAGAGAATCTTAGAGAAGGAAGTCTTGGAGACAGGGACACATCCCCTACTGGCTCCTTCCATCACCAAGTTCACTGTGCAAACTTCACCTTCCCGGGCTGCTCCAAATGACAGTGTGTTGGAGGGGGTGGCAATCGGAACTTTTCCTATTCCATTGGTTTCAGGATGTGTTTGTTTGCAAGCCCTGACAACCCCACAGAACGATACTTCTTGCAGATATCATCCCTCTCCACGGCATTTGTCAGAGCTGAGCACTGTCTGGGGAGCACAGTAGGTGCTCCATACACATCTGTGGCTGGAGGGTGGTCCTCAAGCACCCCTGTGCTGGGCACTCCCATCTGCCTCACATCATTCCTCAGAAGCATGGCTGTGCTCCCTTCACTGATGGGGTGGACCTGTCCATGCCAAGCCTCCATTTGCCCCCAGAACCTGCCCTCCTGGAGTTACCTGTCACACAGCTTCCAAGACCCACTGACCCAGCCCAGACTGACCAGATGTCCCTGGGTGTGCCCTGTGTGCTACAGTGTCCAACCAGGTCTGTTTCCAGGCTCAGCCTAGCCTTCACACTGGAGTTCCCAGGAGGCTGGGACCAAGCCGGCCTTGCTCACGACAGCAATCTGGTGCCCAGCACAGCACCTGGCACATAGCCACCTCCTGGATGCAAGGCCTTGCTTCAGGAGCCTTGAGAGCCTCTGTCCCCTTCCTGCTCCAGTCACCCTCTCCCTGCTCCCCTGTTCTGTCCTCACTTCCTCCAATATATCTTTGGGTGCATTTGAGCCATGTTTCTACCCCTGAGATCTGCCCAAGCCACTGTCCGCTGCCCAGGCTCTTCAGCTTGGCATCGAGACCCACCACAGCTGGCCCTGCAGTCCAGGTGCAGCCTCAGCCCAGACAGGCCTCAAGCCTCCGCCAGCCCTTGACTTCAGCCTCACCCACTTGGCAACCTAGCAAAATACTCCCCTTCCGCAAACACCCAAACTTCCCCTCCACAGACGCCTCTCCTTTATAGACAGTCTCCCCACCCTGTATCTGTTCCTCCCACGCCAGAGTCCTCCCCACCCCATCACCTCCTCCTTTCTGGATCTTTGTATCCCCAGTGGTCTGTACATAAATATTTAATGAACGAGAGAGTGAGTGAATTCCAACCCGAATACCTATTGAGCTCCTGGGCTGTGCCGGGCTGTATGTCTGGCCTGGAGAGTGCAGAGCCGGCAGGACATGGCCCCTGCCCTCACGGAGCTCATAATCTGGTGAGATGGGCTAGGGTCAGGGCCCGGCACCTGAGTGAGCCAGGAGGTGACAGGTGGGGAAGAAATAGGTAGGGAGCTGGGTGAGGGGTTGCGAGACTTGAGAGAACTACCAGGGCCTCCACCCTCAGGGAGCTTGTGGTCCAGCGGGGAGACAAAGCCAGCTCACATGAAGTGAGAGAGACATGGCATGGAGCCAGTGGTCCCAATGCCAGGCCATGGCCACCAGATTGATAGGAGCAGAGATTCCTGGGGACCAGAAGAGTTGGGGGCGGACCTCCTGCTCTTTCCCAGGGCCCCTAGCTCCTCCCATCTCTGGCCCCAGGCTTCTGTCTAGAGTCACCTTGGCCCCTCTTGGAAGCCAATTAGGTCCCCCAGTTGCAGCAGTGGGGATTAATATGATTAATAACGCCCCCAATCTCCCAGGTGCTGATTCAGCCAGGAGCTTAGGGAGGGGAGGTCACTTTATAAAGGGCTGGGGGGGTGGTCAGCGCACGGAGTTGTCCAGCCAGAGCCCTGGGTGGCCGAGCTCAGGCCTCCGCAGCACTCTTGGGTCTGAGCCGCCCTCGGGGCAGCCACCAGGACCGCAGCCATGAACGGGACAGAGGGCCCGAACTTCTACGTGCCCTTCTCCAACAAGACGGGCGTGGTGCGCAGCCCCTTCGAGTACCCGCAGTACTACCTGGCCGAGCCATGGCAGTTCTCCATGCTGGCTGCCTACATGTTCCTGCTGATCGTGCTCGGCTTCCCCATCAACTTCCTCACGCTCTACGTCACCATCCAGCACAAGAAGCTGCGCACGCCACTCAACTACATCCTGCTCAACCTGGCCGTGGCCGACCTCTTCATGGTCCTTGGGGGCTTCACCACCACCGTCTACACCTCGCTACACGGATACTTTGTCTTCGGGCCCACGGGATGCAATCTGGAGGGCTTCTTTGCCACGCTGGGCGGTATGAGCCAGGGTAGGGGTGACGGGGTGGGGGATGCAGGAGCCAGAGGGAGCAGAGGGATCTGGAGACAGCCCGGGGATGGTGGCTAAGAGGCCTTCTCCCCCCTACATCTGTCAGCATTATCTGCTTGATCTGAAAACAGCATCAGTGATGATACACTAGGCTGTTTATGGAGGGCAGCCCTGGGCACAGTTGATCTCGTGTAGAGTGGTGCTGCTGTCTTACTTTATATCAGGGAAACTGAGCATGAGAGATGTCAAGGGCCTTGCTGGGGTCTCACTATGGTGGGGCTAGAGCTGAGTTTCCAGCCCACATCACAATGGCCCCTCAGGCCTTGTTCTGTTCCCCTCAGAGCACCTGTGCTGGGTCAGACCCATGTCGAGCACTGGGAAGAGAGATGGGCAGGACAGATCCCTGTTCTCAGGGCTCTCAGCCCAGGGTGGGACAGTCCTGTCCCACCAGATGGGATGATGATCATCATCCCAGATGATCAGTCCTCCAGCCACTGGAATCCGCCTGTGCTGGCCAGTGGGCTCAGTCTCTCCCCACTGGCATCTCTCCGACCTGCAGAGAAGGGTCTGTCTGTATATGGGACCCCTGTTTCACCCCTGCCTGTGGCCTGCCGCTGGGTGATCTGTGGTCATCAAAGGTAACAAACACCCAGTGATGGCTAGAGATTCCCTGGGAATGGGGCTGAAACAGCGTCGGGGACACGTAAAGGAGAGAGGAGGCGAGGAGGCCGAGCAGTCCTTGTGGCTGGTGCTAGGCTCTGCCAGCTGCCCTCGGCTCTCTCCTGCTTGCCTAAGAGGCTGTGTGTCCCAGAGAAGGGGGCCCATTCCTGGTCTGAGCCAGAAGACCTAGGCCCTGGTCACTGCCCTCCCACATCCCTGCATGTGTCTCTTCCCTTCTCCGGGTCTCTCTTTGCTCAGCTGCTAAATGGGGTCTGTTATCTCTTGCAGTACTCCCATCGGTTTTCCAGTCAAAGAAACTATTCAAAAGCATCCTTCAAAGTTACAGATCACCACACAGTGTAATGCCTTCCTGTGGATGGGGTTTCTTTGAAGGGAAGGAGCTTCCCCACACAGAAAGGCTGGAAGTGGGCTGGGAAGTCTCTGGCTAGAAGGCAAGGGTGAGGCAGGTGCCACGTACAGGCACATCTCTGTAGGGTTGGTGCCAGCTTACGATTATTATACTGGAGTAATAATTAGTCGTGTTCGCTTTCTCTCTCAGAAACATCCCGGTTTGGTTGATAAATTCTATGGCCAACCTCCCTATTGAGTTTCTAAGGGGTGATATCTGAATCCCCCCATTCTGTCCTGATTTTACCTATGTGGACCCACAGACCCAGGTTATTTCATTCTCCAAGGGAGGGAAGGACTTCCAACTCCAACAGGCACTCTGCCTGTCACCCCAAAAAGCACATGTTCTTCTGTAAAAACTCCCTACGGGGTTCCCAGTGTAACAATGACCCTGGGATCCGATTTTCCATTCCTCACGAACCCAGAGCCCTTACTGAACTAACTCCTCTTCCTAGGGGACGCTCTGCTCACTCTCCTTCTGCATCTGGGTCCTTCTGCTCCACAGCCCCTTCGCCTCTCCATCCCTGGTCCTGGCTCCAGCCCTGCCCTAGTTTGCCTTCCTGGCTGCCCTCTCCATTCCAGGAAGAGCGCTTCCTGCTTAGACAGACAGCAGGGTCCAGGTGGGTGGTGTGCTGACTGATCCCTGACTGCCTTGCAGGTGAAATTGCCCTGTGGTCTTTGGTGGTTTTGGCTATTGAGCGGTATGTGGTGGTGTGTAAGCCCATGAGCAACTTCCGCTTCGGGGAGAACCATGCCATCATGGGCGTCGCCTTCACCTGGGTCATGGCCCTGGCCTGTGCTGCACCCCCCCTCGTTGGCTGGTCCAGGTAATGACACTGAGTAGAAAAGAAGGGTCCCCAGGGGGTCTTTGTAGGGTCTCCCAGCCAGGACTCAAAGCTGGCACTGTCTGCTCTGGGCATCCAGTTTATATGCCCCCTACCCCCCATGCCCACCCTGCTAGCTCTCCCAAGGGAGGGGTTTAGGGCAGGGAAAGAGAGAAACAGACCCTAATGCTGCTATGGGGGCTGGTCCCATCTTTTGAGCCCCCATGTCAAGGAGAATCCAAGATGCCTCAACCCTTCACCTTGGCTCTGCCCCTAATCCTCAACTAAGCCAGGGCCAGATTCCAATCCTCTTTGCCCCATAGGCAGTTCCCTCTGACCTTGGGCCTCAGCACCTGGGGAGGCCAAGTCTTTCTAGTGCCCGTGGTGACATGGTAGCCCCTGGGAACTTGGTCCTCTGCAGCCTCTAGTCCATCATCTCCAAATGGGGCTCAGATGAGAGACGGGAGGACAGTGGTTTGGGAAACTGGGCTGTGGGTTCCCAGAGGCCTCGCGTCCCTCTGCTTCTAGGAAATTCCAAATCTCTCTTCCCTTCCCTCCTCTCTCATCCTCCTGGGGTCAATTTTTTGTTCCTTGTTGGGTCTGAGCCCGCCCCCTCCAGCATCTTCCCTTGTCTTCTCCAGTCCTGCCCAGTCCCATCCCCCCAGGCACAGCCAACAGCCACTCGGGCCACTCCATTGTCACCATCCTCTAAAATCACATGGCCCCGGGACCTCTTGTTTCTACAAAATGTGCAAAGATCCCTTAGTTAACCTGTGTGCCCATCTTTGGCCTAGAAGACACCCTTACGCTGTCAGTAAGACCCTGGTTTATACAAACTGCTTCAGATACAGAGTTTGGGAGCTTTTCCCTTCTCCCCACCAACCTCTGCCCTGCACAGCCTGAGGCCCGGCCTCCAGCCATGGGGAGCAGCAGGTCTGGTGAGGAAACCCAGCGCAGGTCAGCGGTATACGGGCTCTGCTAGGCAAGAGACTAGGCCATCTCCGGATACCATGGCTGCTGTACAACCAAACCACAGTTTTCACCAGGTGCATTTGAACCCCTCATCTCAGTTGATTTGATCCCCACAGTCACGCAGCCAAGCCAAGCAGGTATTTCATCACATCCATTTTATAGAGAGGGAAAGCAAGGCCCAGAGCAAGACCAGCCACATAGCAGGTGTGTTGGCCGAGCCAGGGCCCTGACCGGCTGCAGCCTATGCCCAAGTCCCTCACACGTGGGTGTCCCTTATGCCCTCTCCTGTTCCCCCTGCCCCGCACACCCCTGGTGCTCAGGTACATCCCAGAGGGCATGCAGTGCTCATGCGGGATTGACTACTACACACTCAACCCAGAGGTCAACAACGAGTCCTTTGTCATCTACATGTTCGTGGTCCACTTCACCATCCCTATGATCGTCATATTCTTCTGCTATGGCCAACTCGTCTTTACAGTCAAGGAGGTATGGTCCCATGTCGGGCGCTGGGGATGCATGCATTGGTTGGGATGAGCCCGGCCCCTGTCCCAAGGGATTCTGGATAGGAGGCCCTGTGTCCCTGCAGGCAGCTGCCCAGCAGCAGGAGTCGGCCACCACACAGAAGGCTGAGAAGGAGGTCACACGCATGGTCATCATCATGGTCATCGCATTCCTGATCTGCTGGGTGCCCTACGCCAGCGTCGCATTCTACATCTTCACCCATCAGGGCTCCAACTTTGGCCCCATCTTCATGACCATCCCAGCATTCTTTGCCAAGTCCTCCTCCATCTACAACCCTGTCATCTATATCATGATGAACAAGCAGGTGCCTAATGGTGGGGCAAGAGGGTCCAGGGGCCCCAGGCTGCAGGCACTGCCTGCAGAGGACAAGCCACAGCCCGGACTGGGCCTCAGTCACTCCACCTGCAAAACCAGGCAGGGAGACTGGTATCTCCCAGGGCATCAGCGTCATCTGGGAGAAATACACAATCAGAAGCTTGGGGTGGGCCCAGGAACTCGCATTTCTAACAAGCCCTCCTGGTGTCTCTGATGCATGAGAGGTGCCAGTCCAGATAGTTCTGGAGACCCACTTTAAAAGTCAAAGAGTGTAAGTCCCAAGCCTGGGAATGCGATGGTGCCAGTCTCCACAAAGCTGAACACAGAGCTAAGTCTTATGCTGAGGGATGAATGGATAAAGCAGTTATTTAAACATCGACCAGTGACTTCTCTGCAGAATCCATGATCCAGTGGGGGAAAACGTGGTCTCTGGAGTTACGCATATCCGTTTCAAATCTCAGCTTTCATATTCTAGCTGTGTGACTTAGGCAAGTCATGCCCTTTTCTGGCCCTCAGTGTCTTCATTCCTAGAAAGGGCGAACTCCTAAACTCTAGGGTTAAATAAGATAACTTACAAATAACCCTTGGCACACAGAGGACACCAGAGAAGGTCATGAGTAGCAAAACCCTGTTGGATTTGGTCCCTGGCATCTCTGGGGCGGGGCCACGTGTGCTTACGAAGTTCCCTCCAGGGAGCCAGATTTGAGAGGGGCGTGGATCCTGGGAGGGCCAGAAGCAGGGAAGGGGTTGGAGGCAAATCTTGCCAACCACCACAGTCTGCTACATACACTTCCAGCGGACCCTGACCCTGACTCGTGTCTTTTGCCTTTTAGTTCCGGAACTGCATGATCACTACCCTGTGCTGCGGCAAGAACCCACTGGGTGATGACGAGGCCTCCACCAGCACCTCCAAGACGGAGACCAGCCAGGTGGCACCGGCCTAAGCCCTGCCAAGGACTCTACGGCCGACTGTAGAAGTCTCCCATTCCCCACACCTAGCCCCAGCCACAGCTGCCCCACAGGAGCCAGGCCTGTCGGAATCAGGCTGTGCAGGCTCCCTGAATTAAAATTATTATTATTATTATGGAGAGAAAGATGAGGTTCCCCACTTGGCCAGAACGCCCCATCTGGAGTCCTGAGTTCCCAGGGGTCATGGGATCGCTGTCCCTCCTCCCCCCAACTCATCTCTCAAGAACAAAAGAACTCTTGCTCTCTGGAAAAGTGTTCCGGCTTAGGGATAATTGTCTAGCACAGAGTGGGGCACACAGTAGGTGCTTAATAAATGCTAGATGGATGAAGGAAGGAATGAATGGAGGAATGAGTGAAGGAATGAATGGGCTGGGAGAGCACATCTATCCTCTCGAAACCACCTTAGCAGCAGCTGGCCCTCAGCTGATGACCTTGAGCACTGGTTTCCCTCCCTGGGGCCTCACTTTCTTTCTGGAAATCCCAGATCCCTGGCTCTGCCAACGCATGGCTGCTGTGAAATCAAATAGGATTTTGTGTGTGCAGGTGCCTGTGTGTGTGAGAGCATGTAAGCACTTTGTAAATGGTAAAGGGCTGTACAGATTGTAGTTAACATTACGAATAATATAAATTAATATAATTAATTAATTAATATGATCATCTCCTCTTGATAGTGACCGTTTTGAGATTGGGCAAAGTCTTAAGCATCCAGCCTCAGCAGGTTTCTTAAAATTAGCCAGGCGTGAAGGCCAGACCAGGGCTGATGGCTGGGCTGCAAAGGGGGAGAGTCAAGTGAACGCAGAATGCAGTCATCAAGACTGAAAAAACGTCAGGGGACTGTGGAGTCTAGGGCCAAGGCCCAGGGTCTCACCTCTGGCCTAGAGCCCCAGGCCTGGTGCTTCCCCTTCCCAATACAGCTGAGGGAGAGCTGGGCCTTTCTTTCAGTTTCTGCAAACCACCCACTCTCTTGTCCAGCAACTAGGCCACAGCAACTGTGGGCCAGCTTGGAGCTTCTGGAGGCCGTATATATTCATTCACTTGCCCACACTTAATGAAGAGTTGAGTTACCCTTGTCTCAAGGAGCTTAAAAAACAAACAAAAAGTTGGAAATTCCGATGGGCCCACCTTCCCTGGGGATGTTCATCGGTCCCAGATTCCAGCTCCCTTGCTGGGTGAGCCTGTCTTTAGTAGCTCCAGTCCATTCTCCATTCTGGAGAGTTCTTGCTGCGAAGCTGACCAGAACTCTTTGCATCAGAACTGAGTTTCCTCCATAGCTGCCCCTGCTCCACGTAACGGAAGCCGGAAGCTCTAGCTCACCACAGCTCTGCTGGACCCTGGGCAAACTGGGACGTTGAAAGCTCAGCTCCTACACTCGGGGTTAATGGTGGTGGTTTTGTTGCTCTCCAGCTCTTTATCTGCAGAGTGGATTGAAACTGGGCTGCACCCACCCCACACCCACCCTTCACCCCCACGATGCCGGGTTTGGGCAACCAGCAGAGCCCCTTAGGGGTGTGGGGGTAGAGGGAGCAGGCCTGGAAACAAGAAAAGCCCCAACTCTGGAGTCACAGAGACCCAGGTGGCCTGTGAAACTGCAGGCAAGTTTTGTCATCTCTCTGCGTCTCCTTATATGCCAAAGGGAATCTTAAACCGAGCTTAAGAGGACTGCAAACTTCATGTGGCCAGCCTACTTCCTGGCACACTGCAGCCGGTGGGAGATTTGATATTACTGGGCCTTCAGTTCAGAGCTGGCCTTACTGAGAACATCATCCACAAGGGGGAACAAGAATGGAGATATAGTCCCAAGAGTTACTTGCAACCTCCAAGGTGGGAAAGGATGGCTGGATCCTGAGATGAAAGGTCCTCAGGGCCACGGTGGGGCTGGAGCAGGTGATAGCTGGGATCCCTACTGTGGCCCCTCTTTACTCTGCCTCCCTCAGTGATGTCAGTCAGGATTTCTTCAGGGTTGGCTCCCATAAATGAAACGCCCAGGGCTTCAGGCACAGCTGGATGCAGGGGCTCAGATGTGCTCAGACTTCTGTATCTCTCCTTCTGGCTACACTTTTCCCTGTGTTGGCCCCACTCACAAGCTCACTATTTCCAAGAGGTAGCACAAACACCTACCAGCAAGCCCTGCAGAAAGTGAGCTGCTTTTTCCCTGACAGTTCCAGCAAAGGTCCTGGGTAAGGCTCTCATTGGCCAGGCCAGGGTCACCTAATCACCCCTACACCATCCTCTGATTGGCCAGACCTGGGTCACCTGAGCACACCCTCCCCCCCCCCACCCCCCCATCGCCCATCCATCCCTACATAAACCAAACGGTCTGAGTGAGGGTGGGGACAGGAAGGAGCCCAAGGGATACCTGGGGGGTGTCGTTACCAGACGGAGGAGGTCCAGAGACAGGGTGGGCAGAACTAACAGTGGCCCAGAGGGGTTGGCCTCTGTTTAAGTGGTGATGGCCCGCTATACCAGGCCTCTTTCCCACACTGTAGACACGAGAAAAAAGATTCCCGTGGCTGGTCCTACAGGTCTCACTCCATTTCCGATGTGTTAGGCAGTGGGAGAGACAGAGGCATTTCTGCTGCCCTGCCTTGTGGACAGCCCTGTTTCCTCACCACCCCATCTCTGTACTTATTCTGACGAGTGGTATGCTTGTTTCAGTCCCACATCCAGAGAAAAAAATTTACTCTCAAACCAGAAAAGTCTCTGTTTTTTTCCTGGTAGAGAGGAAGTCCTCTTTCTCTCTTTCATTTATCATTGATTCGACAGTCACCTGCTATATACCAAGGCCGACAGCTGCTGGCTTAGCTTGGGTTGAGGGTGTTACCTTATCTCCAGGCTCAAGGTGGCAAACTGGTTTATGGAACGCCTGTTGTATACAATCATATCTTCATTCAACCCGGCCTAAGGAAGCTGACCCTGGGCCAGGATGTCCTGGGGACTCAGAGATGGATTGGAGGGAGCAAGTGTCTGGGCTGTGACCTGGCCAGCCTCAAGGACACAGAGCTCTCTCACCCCTGATCTTGTTTCTGGGAGCAGAGAGCATGAACCGATCCTCCCACCTGGGTACCACCACCAAGGCAGCAAAGCCTGATGGCAGCCTACCCTATGCCCCCTCAGTAGAGACTTGCACTCCTGACACCCCAGGGTGCCCCCAGAGAGACAGTGGGTGCCCTTCCCAGTCATGCAACCTCGGACCATTACCTCAAACCTCGTTCGGTTCCAGGCCCCTCACTTTAAAGAGGAGACTCATCCCAATTGGTAGAATTGTCTATAGAGACTAACGAGATGATTGCTGTAAAAACTGCAATGCACGGTAGACACTGTATAAACGCGAGGTTCCTTCCCAGAGATGTGAACCAAGTTCAAAGGAGCAGCCCCTGGGGTGGTAGTCAAGAGATTAATATAACGGAGGGGTGTCGGGAAAGGCAGAAGCAAATGCTAACTGCCCCCGATACTCATTCCCTTTGCTTTCTTTTAGTGATATCACCCCAAGTTCTAGCTGGGCACCTAGCGACCCAGCACGGGACAGCATCTCCCAGCTTCCCTTGCGTCTGCAGTGGCATGACATTAAGGTCTGGCCAATGGCGTATAACCAGAAATGGTATGTGCAGTTCTGGGTTGCACATTTCAGAGAATGGAGGCATCCTCCCCTTCTCTCGTTTCCTGTCTGATGGCTGGAATGTTGTCATGATGACCAGAACTGCAACAGCTATCTTGTTTCATGAGGAAGAATCTGTGGTCAGAGAATAGCACAGCAGCAAGCAAAAAGGAGCCTGGCTGGGTGTCCCATGTTGCCTTTCAGCCCTGCACAACTCACTCTTGAAGAGTCTCATGAGACAATGATTTCATGTTTTTTTGTTTAAACAACTGTATTCTGGAGTTATAGCTGGTTTCGTCACTAAAACAGAGAGCTTCCAGGTTCCAGCCCACCCTCTGGACTCGGGAAGATCTAGTGCAGGTCCTCTCTGAACTTTAGCTTCTTCATGTATAAATAAAATAGTGAATATAAAAATGTACGTGGACATAGAACATGGTAGCTATTACTATTTCCACCCTGCCCTCTATGCATTCATTGACTAAAGTCACCAATTCCTTGATGCCACAGGGGCTAGAGTTACACAAAACTAACACTCTGCTGCTGCTTCTAAAAGTCTGGAACTGTAATCTTCAGGCTTATGAGAGGGTTCACATGTAGGAGGCCCCCACTCAGGGTTCGAAAATGGTAAAACAGTTGTCAGCCTGACTTAAATCCCACACCAGCCTCAGTAGGAGTCACGTAAGTACACGGAGCAGCCTTCCTCTCTACAGCAGCCTGAACCTTACAGTTATCATTTCCCTGGAAAAAGGCAATCCTCTAGAAGAATTTTTAGATCTGCAGCGCATTTTAGAACTTCTTCCCTCCAAATGCAAAACTCTATTCTGGCACAGCCCAGGAGCAGGGTTTCATCTGAAGCTTGTGGGAATGTTTGTATCTCTTGAGTCTTTCTCTATTTCTCAATTCTTGGAAATTCCCCACAATGTGATCAAAATTGCGGCCCCTGTTTGTGCCAGCACCATGTGCCTCTTTGCCTCATCTCGCCTCCTGCTCTAACATGGTTCCTGCAGATGGTTCTCAGGCCTCCCTCCACTCAGCCAGGCTGGGCTCTGGCACTGGGGTTCCATAGCAGTGGTTTCTGAGTGCCTACTGTGTGCCAGGCACTGTTCTAGGCACCAGGGATACCACCAGGAACAAGACAAACACAACCCTGCCCACCCCCACCCCGTGCCCTCCAGGGGCTAGTGTGGGAGAGTTGTGCCTCAGAGTGCTGGAGGTTCCAGGGACTGCTGGAACCAGACGAGGGGATCCTAACCTCCTAAGGGGTCAAGGAGGGCTTTTCTGAGCTACACTGAGGCTGAAAGGATGAACGGGAAACAATCCAGAGAAGGTGGGTGGGGATGAAGAAAGGCCCTCTAGGCAGACTGTATCAGTTAGCTCATGTGCATGACAAACAACCCCCAAACCTCGTGGCTGAAAACAATACACCATGTATTGTTGCCTGTGACTCTGTGGGTCAGCCAGGTTGTTCTGCTGATCTGGACTCAGCTTGATCAATCCCTGCTGGG